AGTTCTGGTATTTTAAATAATTTTTATTACAGTACATTGTCATAATTGCTCTTATTGTTGTTAGTATCTTAATATGCCTAATTTCTAAAGAGCTATGGATGTACAAGGGAAAGCAGTAAACACAGTATGGAACCACTGATGGCTTGGGCCTCCACTGTCTTGAACTCTGTGGACTGAGGGGCTGACTGCACGCTTGGTTTCCACCAGCTCTCAGGACCTGCCTTCAGGACCTCATCAACACTGGGTTTTATGGAACACATGCATTTTTTTATACCTTCATAACTGAGATGATAACGCATTATTGATTGCCATCTTTACAAAGTGAGGCCATGCTTGAGACATTAGTTTGCTGTTTTGGTTTCTTTTATTTCCCCCCAGCACTGGGGATTGAACTTAGGACCTTGTGCTTACAAGGCAGGAGTGGCACCACTGAGCTAAATCCACAGCCCAGGTTTTGGTTTCCTTTTAAATAGTCCTTTTACATACACGCACATACACACACACACAAATTTTTAGCGATGTTATTTAATGCATGTATCCTAACTATTCTACAAGTAAAACCGTAAAATAATTCTACAATATACATCTGTTCATAAGCTTTTTTTCTATACCTAAAAATACTCCATTAATAATTCCTACAGGGTTGCTATGTCAGGAAATAAGAATATATTTTATAATCTCTCTCTCTCTCTCCCCCCTCTCTATATATGACCAATGTAACAGGAGTGCGCCATTTTTAACATATCTTAAAAGGATATACTTAAAAAGTTATGAAGAACTAAAAATTTTTACTCTATATTTAGATCTGTATTAAACTGGTGAAAAACTGACATCTTTATTACAAAGTGTTCATTATTTTAAAATCACTGAAAATGCAAAAACATATGAAATAGAAACCCTCATCTTCCTATGGCTTTTCCCTTAGAACTATTTATGAGCAACTATTTTTCCATGGATTTTTCTAGGTCTTTTCCTACATTTATTAAGACATACACACATGATTATTTTCTTTTGTTCCTTATCAAAATGGGGGCAGGGTTAAGCTTGCTTTTTTGACTCGGCAGTGTACCACAGACATCCATCCAGGCTACACCAACACACACATCTGCCTCTCTCCTTGAGACTACCTAATATTCCACAGCCCAAAATCTACTATAATTACCTTCAACTCTTCATTTTATGAGGCTGCAATAAATACACAGCATGCATATTAACCGTTCTCCTGTAAGCAGTCCTTGAAATTCTTACTCATTTAACCTAAATCATTTACGTTTTTACCATTCATAGTTTTAGTACATATAAGCTCTTTACATATTACAGATATTAACTCCTTATTTGTCACAAATTTCTGACTATGGTTTGCCTTTTAACTGCAGGGTTTTGTTTCTCTTTACCTCTTAAGTTAAAAAAAAATTTTTTTTTTGGTACCAGGAATCTAACTCGGGTCATTGCGCTTGCAAGGCAGGCACCAGAACCACTGAGCTAAATCCCTGGCCCAAGTTTTAAATTTTTATGTAATCAAATATACTCATTTCTTTTTTACATTATTTTCTCTCTTCTAATAGTAGCAATAACAGATTTGAGTGCTCTGCAGGTGCCAGGGCCTTTATTTCTCAGTCTAAAAACTCTTGTAAGGCAAGATTCTTTTCCTTACAAGATTCTAGTTAGGTACAACTAGCTGCAAAGCCTGTGCTAAGCAAGCAAAAGCTTCTTTCCAGATGTTTATGATCCTGACTTGAATGTCCTTTAGATTTGGAGGCGTTCATGCTTATCATGTATTACTTTACCCTATCAAATAGCTTATTTGTGGGGTAAGGAATAGATTCCAGTGACCTGTAGTACAGCTATCCCAAAGCCAGTAGGACGATTTTAGTGAACATGGCTCTAAGACCTATGTGAGTATGTTTGTCTCACCATACTACAGCTTGTGATTAGACCAGCAGTTGTGATTAATTCCGGATCTTCTCCCGCCAAAGACTGCAAACCCATATTTACTGTCAAGTTCACTGAGAAAAGGACAGCTCTGTAACATTTAAATACCACATCTAGAAACACGGCTTCTCTTTACATTCAAGGTATCCTTTCAGATCACTTGAAATATTTTATGATCTTCTCCATGTAGGACATGCTTGTCTCAACAAGGCTATACCTACAAGTTTTGTTTTTTTCTAACGTGGTCAAAGCCAGTTTTCTGTCTTGTTTCTTCACTTTATTTTCTGCTAAGTTTTATTTGGTATTCAGAAAACTATGAATTTCACACATGCATCACACACCCCGTCAATTCATCCATCTTTTTTGTCTAATCATTTTTGTTATTCTTTGTAGTCAATAGCATCTACAAGTATTTCTCATTTGAGATTCTCACCTCTCTTACCTGTTATGGCTGTGTCAAAACTTACAAAAAAAGATGTTAAATAATGTTCCGATTTTTAACTTCAGCCTGATACTTTTAAGTATAGTGTGAACAACTAGTTTAAACTTTGCACTGTTTCACTGAATAATGCCCCCTTTTTCCCTACTTTTATCAGACCTACCTTTTTAAAGTAAGAAATGAGAATTTAAAATCAAACATCTGAGCCAGGAACAGTGGTGCATGCCTGTAATCCCAGCACTGAGGAGGCTGAGGCAGGAGGATCACTGCAAATCTGAGGCCAGCCTGGGCTACATAGTGAGTTCAAAGCCAAGTTGAACTACATAGCGAGACCCTGTCTCAAAAAATAAAAAAAATAAATTAAATAAAATCAAACATCTGTTTTGACTTTAAGGTTGGTTATGTAAATTCACTGTGAACCCCAATGCACAAGTCACGTCTCCCCTAGGGAGCCTGTGAAGCAGCCGGCCTGCTCTCCACTCTCCACCCACACCCCCAATTCTGCAAGTGGCAACTCGAGTGCTAGTTTAAAATGCAAATCTCATTAGGTCACGCCCCTGCTTTAAACCCAACCTTTATAATGGTTTCCCATTTCACTTCAGATAAATCTCAACATCCCTAACCTGCCCTGCAAGATCCTACATGATCTGCCCCCACCCTAGTCCCACTTCCCCTTACCCACATCACCCGGCCAATGTTCCTTCAATTCCTGGGATGAGCAAAGCTTTTCCCTCTTCAGGGCCTTCCCACATGCTGTTTCTCCACGTGGAAAATTACCCCTACTTCACTTGACAGCCACGCCTACCACTCTTCAAATCTCAGCTTAAATCTTATTTTTGCCAAAAAGTCTTTTTTGAGCACCCTCTTCCCCTGACTTCAGACTCTCACAGCAGGCGCTCCCTCACTTCCCAACAGATACTAACTACAGTCTGATAAGACCAGCATCGGGGCCGCATTTCTCATCCCCTCGGCCCCACAGACTATACACTCTGAGAGAACAGGTACAGGCTGATTTTGCTGGACATGCCACAGGCACTCCCACACATCCCCACAACAACAAAAACCCTACAAGACCCCTCATTGATTTCTTATACCTTAGAATGCTGCCTATTCCCTCGGTGGGTAAATTGGTAAAATTCTGATGCTGCCTACACATTCAAGAGGATTCTATTTTCCCTGAAGGAACATAAAAGCTAAAATACATATACAACTTACATCACGAAGAAATAAATTTTATTTATATATCAGAATTTTTACCCAGTGTTCAATTCGCTGAGAAATCAATTCATAATCAACTAATTTATGTGCTTATTTTTAATGTATGTAAAAAAGCACGATGTGCTTTACAAAATATTCTTGGAAGTCACTAGCAAATTTGATTAAAAACGGCTACAAAATCACAAATTTAAAAGCGCTCAATTATCTATCTCTACTATTTTGTGATAGAGTTGATAAAAAATATAAATTATACGGCTAATGCACAAATTTTAGATCTCAAAGGCCAATAAGACCAATCTTTATTCCCCCCCCCCAATTCCCAAGAAGAGAAGACAGGGTATTAGCGCGGTTCACAGAAACTGAGGCTGGGAGTGACTAAGTGTCCTCCCCAAGGTCACAGGACTTGTAAGCATGCAGTCATAACTACCCCAGGCAAGGAGTGGAAGTTCCCACACATAAATTCTTAACCAAAGTGAACTTCCATCATAAACATTTGATCTCTGTAATTAGCACAGACTTGAGAGCTCCTTCACTAAAATTTCGTATCACTGGAGAACCACCACAGCCCAACAAACCTGTTTTAATGTTAAAACTTAAATTGTCATCAGTCTGGGAATTGGCTAAAGTACAGTCACCCAAACGGTGCGACATGATGCAGTGGTCCTTAAAAACGAATTAAAGTCCGGGATGCTAAGACGGTACGCGTACTAACTGGCTAGTACTTGTTAAAACAGTCCAAGATGGTAAAACACCATATAAAAGTATTTTAAAACATCTATTAGGACACACCACACTCAGTAAAGTCCTTGGGGACAGGCTCACAGCCAGCACCACCTCTGTGATGCATTAGTATTTACAAAGAATGTCCAGCTCTACGAATGTAACATTAATTTTTAAATTTTAAATTAACCTGTAGGTTGAACAAGATCGTTCTGCTCTGAAAAGCTACGCATCTACAAAGGAAACGCACCCTCTAGAAAAAGGAGACAAAATACACTAAAAGAATTCAATTGTTAAAACAATAAACTGTTTAGATGTCACAAAACGCTCCTTAATGAAAGCAATAGCTAGAATTTTTGTTTTTTGGTTGTTTTTTGTAATAGCGGGTCTCCTTTGTTGCAACAACAGCCAATAAGCAAAACTATCAACTCGAACAGTGCGCGGAGCAGGCTCCTCCTCGAGAGATCGAGTTGTTGGAGTTGGACAAGAAAGGTCTCACAAAGGAGCTGAGTTCTGAGGGAAAGGAGAGATGATTTGGCAGAGATATGGGCGGCTAAGCTCGAAGAGAAGACGTCTGGGGGGATCTACTGAGTTCATCAGATGAGAGGACAGCGAGGAAACTGCAGCCAAGTCCCGGGAGGAGAGAATGCCCCGGCTGGGTCTGCGGGAGCTCGCCCGCCGGCCAGTTTACCTGGGAGCGCCCGGCCCTTGTGGTCAAACAATGGAGGCGTCCAGCGGCAGCAGCCCTGTGCGCGGGGCGCGCGGAGCGTCCCTCATCACCTGGGCAGGATGCTCGGCAGCCTCC